ATAAGGAGAGTAACTAAGAACAGAGTAGGGTCGAAGAGCATGAGAAGAAGATTAACATTAAATAGGGATGAGAGATGGGAGGGAAAGGGAGAGAGAAGGGAAAATGCATGGAAATGGAAGGAGACCCTCAGAGTTATACAAAAGTACATACAAGAGTAAGTGAGGGGAAGGGGAAAAATAATATAAGGGGGACAAATGAATGTCAGTAGAGGGAGCAGAGAGAGAAGAGGGGAGGGGAGGGGAGGGGAGGGGGGACAGTAGAGGATAGGAAAGGCAGCAGAATACAACAGACACTAGTATGGCAATATGTAAATCAATGGATGTGTAACTGATGTGATTCTGCAATCTGTATATGGGGTAAAAATGGGAGCTCATAACCCACTTGAATCAAATTGTGAAATATGATATATCAAGAACTATGTAATGTTTTGAACAGCCAACAATAAAAAATTAAAAAAAAAAAAGAGGACATGCATAATTTAAACAGATCATTTTTAAGCAATGAAATAGAAGATGTCATCCAAAGTCTACCAACCAAGAAAAGCCCAGGACCAGACGCATTATCAGCCAAGTTCTACATGATCTTCACAAAAGAATTAGCACTAATATTCCTCAAATTATTGCATGAAATAGAAAAGGAGGGAACCCTTCCAAACTCATTCTATGAGGCTAGTAACACCCTGATACCAAAACCAGACAAAGACACATCAAGGGAAGAAAACTTTAGACCAATGTCCCTAATGCAAAAATTCTCAATAACATTCTGACAAATCGCATACAAAATATATTTTAAAAATAGTGCACCATGATCAAGTGGGGTTCATTCTAGGGATGCAAGGTTGGTTCAACATACAGAAATTTATATATATAAATAACAAAAATAGCATGGTATTGGTACCAAAGTAGACATATAGACCAATGGTATAGAATAGAAGACACATCAAGTGACTTAAAGACAAAAATCATATGATCAATTATTTCAATATATGCAGAAAAAGCATTTGACAAAATATAACACGTCTTCATTTTCAAAACACTAGAAAAACTAGGGATAGTAAGAACGTATCTCAACATTGCAAAAGCTGTCTATGCTAATCTTAGGGCCAACATCATTCTAAGTAGAGAAAAATTGAAAGCATTCCTTCTAAAAACTGAAACAAGACAGGGTTGCCCTCTTTCACCACTTCTATTCAACAAAGTCCTGGAAACTCTAGCCAGAGAAATTAGACAAATAAAAGAAATTAAAAGGATACAAATAAGAAACAAAGAACTCAAACTATCATTATATGATGACTACATGATTTTATATTTAGAAGATTCAAAAAATCCCACCAGAAAACACCTAGAGCTAATAAATGAAGTCAGAAAAGTGGCAGGAATAAATCAAAGGCATTTATATACATCAGTGATGAATACTCTGAAACAGAGAAATTAGAAAAACTACCCCATTCCCAGTAGCCTAAACACACATACACACACACACACACACACACACACACACACACACACTTGGAGATCATTCTAACAAGAGAGGTGAAAGACCTCTACAATGAAAACTACAGAACACTAAAAAAAGAAATTGAAGACCTTAGAAGATGGAAATATATCCCATGTTCTGGGCAATTACAATTAAAATCCCAATAACATTCTTCATAGAACTAGAAAACGCAATCATGAGATTCATTTGGAAAAACAAGAGACCCAGAATAGCCAAAGCAATCCTTAGCAAGAAAAGTGAAGCAGAGGCATCACAATATCAGACCTTAAAGTATACTACAGAGCAATAGTAACACAAATAGCATGGTATTGGTACCAAAGTAGATATATAGACCAATGGTACAGAATAGAAGACACAGAGACAAGCTCACATAAGTAGAGTTATCTCATATTAGACAAAGGCTCCAAAAACATACATTGGAGAAAATATAACCTCTTCAACAAATGGCACTGGGAAAACTGGAAATCCATATGGAGAAAAATAAAATTAGACCTCTATCTCTCATCCTGCACAAAAATCAACTCAAAGTGGTTCAGAGACTTAGGAACTAGAACAGAGACCCTGTGGCTAATAGAAGAAAAAATAGGACCAAATCTCTACCATGTCGGCTTAGGAACTGACTTCCTTAACTAGGACTCTATAGCGTAATACGTAAAAAAAAAGAATCAATAAATAGGATGAATTCAAACTAAAAGGCTTCTCAGCAAAGGAAACAATCAATAACATGAAGAGAGAGCCCACAGAATGGCAGAAAATCTTTATTTACTACATGCACCTCAGACAGAGCACTAATCTCCAGGATATATAAAGAAGTTAAAAAACTCAGCACCAAAAAATAAATACCCAATCAGTAGATGGGTTAAGGAGCTGAACAGATACTTTACAGAAAAAGAAATACAATTGATCAACAAGTATATGGGAAAATGTTCATCATCTCTAGCAATTAGAGAAATGCAAATCAAAACTACTCTAAAATTTCATCTCATTCCAGTCAGAATGGCAATTATCAAGAATACAAGCAATAATAAGTGTTGACAAGGAAGTGGGGAAAAGGTACACTAATATATTGCTGGTGGCACTGCAAATTAGTGCAACCACTATGGAAAACAGTATGGAGATTCCTTAGAAAAGTTAGAATGGAACCACTATTTGACCCAGCTATCTCACTCCTCAATTTATACTCAAAATATTTAAAATCAGCATACTATAGTGATGTAGCCATCTCAATGTTTATAGCAGCTCAGTTCACAATAGTTAAATGATGGAACCAACCTCAATGCCCTTCAACAGATGAATGGATAAAGAAACTATGAGATTTATATATATATAACGGAATATTACTCAGTCTTGAAGAAGAATGAAATCATGGCATTTGCAGGTAAATGGATGGAGTTGGAGAATATCATGTTAAGTGAAATAAGCCAACCCCCCCCAAAACAAAGGCCGATTATTTTCTCTGATAAGCAGATGTTGATCCATAATGGGGTGGGGCAAAGAATGAAGAAACTTTGGATTGTGCAAAGGGAGTGAGGGGAGGGGAGGAGGTGTGGGGACTGGGTGGATGGTGGAATGGACATTATAACATTATATACATGTATGATTATACTACTGATGTGACTCTGTACCATGTTCAGCCAGAGGAAGGAGAAGTTGTGCTCTATTTGTGGACAGAGTGTCAAAATGCATTCTGCTGTCATGTATAACTAATTAGAACAAATTATAAAATGAAAAAAATGCATTCCAAATTTATCAATGATGTAAGAATAAAAATAAAATAAATAAAACTACTTCTACAAAAAACAAAAGAGAACAACTGCTAGCAAAGATGTAAGGAAAAAATTCTTATATACTGTTTGGGGGAATGTAAATTAGTATAGTCACTATAAAAAAGCAGTATGGAGGTCTCTTTTTTAAAAAAAAACTAAAAGTAGAACCACCATATGACCAGATTATACCACTCCTGGGTATAAATCTGAGGGAAATAAGGTCAGTATACAAAAGAGACACCTGCATACCCATGTTTATTGTGGCACTATTCACATTAGCCAAAATATGAAATCAGCCTAGGTGCTCCTCAACATCTAACAGATGAATGGATAAAGAAATGATGAGATATATACACAATGAACTCTTATTCATCTATAAAGAAGAATAAAATCTGTCATTTGCATGAAAATGGATGGAACTGGAGGACATCATGTCAAGTGAAATTATTCAGACAATATCACATACTCTCTCTTTTATGTGGAAACAATAAAATTAAAATAAAATATAACCTGAAAATAGAGAGGGACTTTTAGAGGGTAGTAAAGGGGGAAAGAGGGATGTTGACAGATGTAGAGGGAAGGTGGAAATATGAATGCACAATATATGCCCATATGGAAATGTCACAAGAAACTCATCAATTTGTACAATTAACATGTATGAATAAAAAGAAAAAATATCTACATATTCTATACAAACACAACTGCTGCAAACCTAACTACATAGTACATATCAGCAGCAAGCACAGCAACAAAAATAAGTAATATTCTATACAGAATAATAATAAGTAATATTCATTGAATGTTTGGATAAACATCAACCAGGCATTGTTCTAAGTAAAAAAAATACATACACATATATATGTATCTACATGTGTGTATATGTGTATGTACACTTTTATTAATATATTCATTAATAATTTTATTAATATATTTATGAAGGCCAAATAAATATATTTAATATAGATATTAAATATATATATTCAAGCGAATATGTATATGTGTGTATTTCTGTGGTATGGGTGTGTGAGTGCTGTGGTATGAATGTGTCCCCTCCAGAAAAATTCCGATATTGAAACTTAATGGTCAATGTGATGGTCTCTGAAGGTGGGACCTTCAAAGGTGGTCATAAGAGTCCCTCTCCTTGTGAATGGGATGACGGTCCTTACTAAAGAGGCTTCACGCAGTGTTTGGCTCTCCTGCCCTCTATCTTTAGCCTCCTGAGAACATAGCACTTCTCCCCTCTGGAGAATGCAACCCTCATTAGAAAACCAAACCTGCCAGGGCCTTGATTTTAGCTGTGAAAAGTAAATACTTATTCTTTATAAATCAACCAGTTACTGGATCTATAGTACTCAGTTATAGTAGCATAAAATGAACTAAGATAACATTCAAGAGAAAATTTTATATATGGTTTTTATTTCAAGACAGTCCTTAAAAACACTCCATGAAGTGACTAGTAGTACCCTCATTTTACAAATGAGAAAACTGAGGTACATAGTGTTAAAAACTTTCCCAAAAGCCACTGAGCAAGTGACAGAGCTAGAACTTGAACCTTAGTATTGTGGCTCCAAAACCCAAGTTCATAACCCAAGTTATGCCTCAGAGAATCTCATTGAGACTCTTAAATCAGTTATAATCATAGCTGGTTGTGATTTTAAAATTCTAGAAGAGGTGATTGAAAGAATCTCATTTAACTTTTTCATGATTGAACATAAGCAGAAGCATTGTCCACATACTTTTAGCAGTCATCTCTTCTGTTCCAACCGGAGTGGAGCCTGTTTTTTGTTCTTCAGAGTCTCTCTGCATAAAGGATTCATTTAGAGCCCATAAAACCAAATCACGCAAGGTAAAGACTGTGGTTCCATCTCTGGTGTATACTTTGGAAGCTGCTCTGGAAAGCCCAAGCTGTCCTGTGCATTCTGTAAGAAGCTAAACAACACAGTTTGTGAAGGACTGACACGAACTAGTGATAGAATTGGGAATAATAAAGAAGAGCTCACCTTTCAGATGAGAAAATCTTTTAACTTGAGAAAATACAGATCTGAGTAACTACTAATCTTAATTGTGTGTGTGTGTGTGTGTGTGTAATAATAGTAGTAGGGATTAAAATAAGGACTCACACATGCTAAGCAACCATTCTACTCCTGAGCTACATCACCTTCCCTGATCTTGATTTTTGATTAGTAATGATTTCTAATATTAGATTGTTCTATACCATCTTATATTAGTCTAATCCCACTGTGAAAATTCCTAGCTCTAAAAATGTAACATAGCAGCTGATGTATATTAATACATTGTAGCCTCAGAATACTTTCTAAGGAATGTCCAATCGAGAAATCTACTTTCAATTTTGTTGCTTGATAAGGTATAAAATTATTGTAATATTTCATATTGATAAACTGCTCTAAAATAAATGAGTAGTTAACTTTTAAACCAAGATATGACATGTATTATTACCTCCATTTGGTAGATGGGAAAACAGAATGAAAAGGCTAATATTTTTTCCCAAGACCATAAAAGACAGTATGGATCCCTGAGTGAATCTTCAAGTCACTAACTTCTGTACTTTGTTTAGTGTACTGAACAACAATATTTTATTTAAAAATCCATTTATTTTTCAACCAAAGAGGTGAGTGGATAAATAAGTAGCGTTTGTAAAGAAGTTCCAATGAGAACTTTATATCATATTTAACATCGCCTGTAAAATATGTTACTAAAGTATTAATCTGAATGCACAGACAGGATGATCATTAAACCTGGAAAGACAAATCTGGGCTTGGGCCTTCTGGACTCTCTTTCATTCCTGTGTCTATGTGTTCTTTAAGACAGACCACACAGTTCCTCTTAACACAATCCCTTCTTCTCCAATTTGAAAATGAAGCACCCTATCAACAAATAAGCACTCTAATGCTGCAGATGATAAACAAGGTGGCATCTCTTAGATCACTCAGATGACATAAAATTGGAAGTTGGCTTGGGAAGGAGGGAAGAAAATGACATTGTTCTTGATAAGAATGAAGAAAATTGGGTAGTTTTATTTTTTCTCCTTTTATATCTTTGCTTTGGAGCCAATCTAAGAAAACACATTCTGATTTTTAAAAATTTTTTCTAAGTCTATCCAAAGAAATACAATAAAAAATAATGCCTTTAAGGAAACACGGATCTTAATCTCATCAGCTTAAATTGGTAAACCTGGCCAGGGACATTTATCACTCAATCTCATTTTTTTTTTCTTATCAGGAGAATCACCATTATCATTACCTCTGAGAATGTAAGCAGCATTTAAGTGACAGTCACTTACCATGGGGAATGTTCCAGCCACAATTAACTTCCCATTACGATATCCATCCCCGTTTTTGTACGCGATTATTTTCACTGCCTTCTGGTGTGTTGCTGCTATACCACTGCGATACACAACTTGCATGCAGGTCTTCATCCGTAAAGATAATAGGAGTTCTTCATAATAACTTAGAGTTTTGTCAGCCTCATAAGATGATAAGTCAGCCTGATTCATTTTAAAAAATTGTACATTTATACAAACCTTTAAATTTTAGTTTTTTATTTGAGCATCATTCAGTCTCATTTCAATGAGTGTGTGTGTGTGTGTGTGACATTTAAATTTTGCTATGGTCACTTCATGTACTATAGATACCAGTGCTATAATAGGAAGGACACTGGACAGAAATCTTAAGTTCTTTTTCCGTCCCTGACACGGAGTTACTAGGTGACTTCTGAGCATCTGGTCTGTTTGGGGCTTTCTGTATTTATTTTATTTGAGGTTAATGTTACATTTTTTGTTTCTTTTGCTTTCACCTGTGACAGGAGATGGCAGCAGGGCCAAAGACAGCCTGAGATCAAAGTAAGAGGACACAATACCACCACCGACATTCCCTCAATTTTTGACTTTAGAATGATGCCATCCTATGGTGGAAGATGCTGATGAAAGGAGGGGAATGAGAACAGTGTCAAGCACATGGTAATGAAGGGATACTAACTAGGATGCTGCCCTGAGGGAAAACCTGTCTGAGATGCTGTAACTCTGAGGATCTTGGTAATCAGCTCCTCCAAACCAAATGCCCTCCGGCTTCCCAGAGGACTGATTCCTTTTTCCTTTAGATATTGTTTCAGTGGATGGTAACAGGTGGCACAATGTGGCTAGGAATTAGGAGATGAGCGAGATGTGGAGATGGGGCAGGCCAGCCTTGAGAGGACAGGCTGGAGGGTGCCCACCTTTTTGGACTTGCTCCTTTATATTCAGGTGTGCAAGTTCCCTCAGCTTTTTTCACTTCTAAACTTGAAGGGAGGATCTCTTAAATAGTACCATTTCAAATTAAGGTCACACAAAAGTAGCAGAGGATTTTGTTTGTTTGGTTTTTGTTTTTGTTTTTTCATCTCCAAGAACTCTAAATAGCATTAGACATGGATGTGTGAATTCAGACACCCAACCTGAATTGTTAACAACAACATGTCAAATTCCCTCTGAAATGCTCCATGCTCATCAAAGAAGTTTACCCTGTGTATACAGGTAAAAAAGCTGTTCCACTAAGTAAAGATTTGCAGTTATTTCCTCAACTAAGTGACACAGAGAACAAGGGAAAGTGTCAGCAAATTAAAGCTGCAGAAGTGCCCAATTAACTTCACAGGGTGGATGGAACTATTAATAGACAATGTATTTTAAATTACAGTGGGGAAAAGGAAATCAATGCAAGCAGGATGTGTTAAGGGAGGATGAATTGGATGAGTGGAGATGCACCTGAGGAGGATGAATTGGATGAGTGGAGATTAACTTGAATGCAAGGCAGATAATAAATACATCAAAGTTTCCAAACTGTTGACACATGTACATTAGCAGAATTCAGATCATTACACACCTTGACCACACTGATGACCTTGAAAGGCCCTTGTGATAGGGGCTTCTGGGTCTTGGAGCCTGAAACACAGAGGAATGGAACCCCTGGAAGCAACTGTTTCAGTCTCTTCTCTGCTCTCATGCATCGTCCACAAGCCAGGCAGAGCATCATTTTCCTCTTTCCACCAGCTGAGAGATAATAGTATCCCTTAAACAGGAAATAAAGGCACTTTTATATAGGTACATCTGAATTATGATAACATTCCATAGAACTCTTTAGAATATAAATAGAGCACCTTTATCATCACCAAATACTAAATTTGAAATCACAACATTAATGCATTATTTTCCTCCCTAATAATTACATTTTCAAGAAAATAATTTCCAAATTTGTAATGACAATTCAGCACCAATGAACACAACCTGTGCCCAGAATCAAGATTTCATGAAAAATGGTCAGTTCCAAGTTTGAGTCAGAAAATATACAATGTAAGCAAGGGAAAGAAAAAAGTTATCCCAGAGTAAACAAATTGTGTCAAAAAGACATGGAAGTCAATATGAGGGAGCCCCTACTGCTCAAAAAGCAATAATTTGGGGCTAACATAAAGAACAATAATGGCAACATTTTGCATGTTTTTGAATATGCAAAATTCAATGAGTTCACAATGATTCTATTAATAGAAGTAAAACAAACAAAAAACCCAAACAAATAAAAACAAATCTACAACCTATTGGACAACATTGGCAATAAGCTTGCACCTATTTATAACTCTGAAAACCGGCCATGAAAGAGTATGGCAGATTATTTCCAAAGACAGCCACAATAAAACCATTCCAAACTTGTGTTCATGGTCATTTGATGTATGACTTTACTGTTCCTTCAATAGAAAGGAAGTGTTTCTTTGTCCTTACTTCTTTTCGTTGAAGAAGGGAAAGGGCGTACTACTGGCTTCACCCATTGTAGCACTAGCAAATGCAAGACAAGCAGATGTATAAGTAGTACTTGCACATTAGTGCTTATTCTCTTTGGGTTACAGTAGGAACCCTAAGACTACAATGTGAGCAAACTTGAGCTAGCCTTTTCAAGAAATCCAGAGATTGAAGAATCAATGCCCCTAGCTAAGAGCCTACCATCCACCAGACATGTAAGGGAGGCCATCTGTGATCATCTACTCCTCACAGAGCCACCAAACTACTGAAGGAGCACCAGATGACTACAGCCATACTAGTGACCCTGGGCAAGACCAACAGATTTGTTCTTCATACTTTTCCTGAAATCTTTCCTAACTGGAATCACAGAGTTTAAGTTATTTCAATCAAAAGTTAAGTGTTCTTTTGCCTAATTGCTCTGGCTTGAGATTTGAGTACTATTGAGAATAAAAGTGGTAAAAGTGGGTATCCCTGTCTTGTTTCTATTTTTAGAGGAATGCTTTTAGTTTTTCTCTATTTAGAACAATGTTGGCCTTGGGTTTGTCATACAGCTTTTACAATATTAAGATATGGTCATTTTATTCCTATTTTTTCCTAGTGTTAATCATGAATGGATGATGTATTTTGTCAAATGCTTTTTCTGTATCCATTGAGATGATCATGTGATTCTTGTCTTTAAGTCTATTGATGTGGTGCATATATTTAGTGATTTCTGTATGTTGAACCAACCGTACATGCCTGGAATGAAACTCACTTGATTATGGTGCACAATCTTTTCAGTGTGTTTTGCCAGCATTTTATTAAGAATTTTTGCATCTATGTTCATCAGGGATATTGGTTTGAAGTTTTCTTTCCTTGTCGTGTCTTTGTCTGGTTTTGGTGTAAGGGTGATATTGACTTCATTGAATGAGTTTGGAAGGGTTCCCTCCTTTTCTATTTCATGGAATAATTGGAGGAGGATTGGTATTAGTTCTTATTTAAAGGTTTGGTAGAACTTGGCTGAGAATCCATCTAGTCCTGAACTTTTATTTGCTGGTAAATTCTTGATTACTTCTTCAATCTTGTTATTTGAAATTGATCTATTCACATTTTCTATATCCTCCTGGTTCAGTGTGAGTAAGTGTTATGTTTTTAGGAATTTATCAATGTCTTCAGTATTTTCTAACTTAAATAAGTATAGATTTTCAAAACAGCTTCTGATTATCTTCTGTATTGCATTAGTGTTGGTGATGATATTTCCATTTTCATCATGGATTCTAGTATTTGCATTTTTAAGGAGTTAAAATCAGCATACTTCAGTGACACAGCCACATCAATGTTTATTGAAGCTCAATTCACAATAGTTAAATTATGAAAGCAGCCTAGGTGTCCTTCAATAGATGAATGGATAAAGAACATGTGGTATATATACACAATGGAGTATTACTCAGCCATAAAGAAGAATCACTTTATAACATTTGCCAGCAAATGGATGGATCTGAAGACTATCATGCTAAGTGAAGTAAGAAAAAATCAAAGGTAGAATGTTATCTCTGATATTTGGAAGCTAATTCACAATAAAGCAGGTGGTGAGGGGAAGAGTAGACATGCGGTAGATTAGACAATGGGAATGGAAGGAAAGGACATGGATAAGTAAAGGAAAGACAGTGGAATGAATCTGGCATGTACATATATGAAGTTTCCCATGTACATATATAAAACAACACAGAAAATCCCACCACCATGTACATCCATAAGAATGGAACTCTACCATTGGTCTACATGTCTATTTTGGTGCCAATACCATACCATTTTTGTTACTATACTTTGTGGTATAGTTTAAGGTCTGGTATTGTGATGCCTTCTGCTTCACTCTTCTTGCTAAGGATTGCTTTGGCTATTCTGGGTCTCTTATTTCTCCAAATGAATTTCATGCTTGTTTTTTCTATTTCTATAAGGAATGATGATGGGATTTTAATAGGAATCACATTGAATTTGTATAGTGCTTTGGGTGGTATGGCCATTTTGACAATATTAATTTTGCCTTTCCAAGAACATGGGAGATCTTTCCATCTTCTAAAATCTTCTTCAATGTCTTTCTTTAGTATTCTGTAGTTTTCATCATAGAGGTCTTTCACCTCTTTTGTTAAGTTGACTCTCAAAAATTTTTTTTGGAGGCTATTGTGAATGGGTAGTTTTCCTAATTTCTCTTTCAGAGGATTTGTCATTAATGTGTAGAAATATATTTGATTTATGGGTATTGATTTTATATCCTGCTACTTTGCTGAATTCATTAATTAATTCTAGTTTTCAGGTGAAGTTTTTTTTGGATTCTCCAAGTACAGAATCAAGTCATCAGCAAATAATGATAGTTTGAATTCTTCTTTTCCTATTTGTATCCCTTTAATTTCTTTTATCTGTTTAATTGCTCTGGCTAGTGTTTCCAGGACTATGTTGAGTAGAAGTGGTGAAAGAGGGCATCCCTGTCTTGTCCAAGTTTTTAGAGGGAATGTTTCCAATTTTTCACCATTTAGAATGATGTTGGCTTTGTGTTTAGAGTAGATAGCTTTTACAATGTTGAGGTATGTTCCTAGTATCTCCATTTTTTCAGTGTTATGAACATGAAAGGGTGTTACATTTTATCAAATTCTTTCTCTGCATCAATTGATATAATCATATAATTCTTTAAGTCTACTGATGTGATGAATTATATTTATTGATTTTCATATATTGAACCAACCTTGTATCCCTGGAATAAACCTCACTTGATTATGGTACACTATTTTTTTAATATGATTTTGTATGCGATTTGCCAGAATTTTTTTTGAGAAATTATCTCATACTAGACAAAGGTGCCAAAAACATACATTGGAGAAAAGATAGTCTCTTCAACAAAAGGTGCTGAGAGAACTGGAAATCTATACTCAACAAAATGAAAATAAACCCCTATCTCTAACTATGTACAAAACTCAACTCAAAGTGGATCGAAGACCTAGGAATTAGACCAGAGACCCTGCACCTAATAGAGGAAAAATTAGGCTCAAATCTTCATTATGTTGGATTACGCCCTGACTTCCTTAAGAAGACTCCTAAAACACAAGAAATAAAATCAATAATTAATAAATGGGATGGGATAAACTAAAAAGCTTCTTCTCAGTAAAAGAAACAATCAATGAGGTGAAGAGAGAGTCTACATTTTGGGAGCGAATTTTTGTCACACACATGTCAGATACAGCAGTAATCTCCAGGATATATACAGAACTCAAAAACCTTAACACCAAAAAAAAAAAAACAACAATTAATAAATGAGCTAAGGAGCTGAACAGACACTTCTCAGAACTTCTCAGAAGAAGATATACATTCAATCAACAAATATATGAAAAAATGTTAAACATCTCAATTAATTACAGAAATGCAAATCAAAACTAAGATTTCATCTCATGCCAGTCAGAATGAGAGTTATCAAGAATACAGACAACAATAAATGTTGATGAGGATATGGAAAAAAAGACATACTCATATATTGCTGGTGGGACTGCAAATTGGTACAACCAATCTGGAAAGAAGTATAGAGATTCCTTAGGAAACTTGAAATGGAACCACCATTTGACCCAGCTATCCCTGTCTTTGGTCTATACCCAAAGGACTTAAAATCAGCATATTATAGTGACACAGCTGCATCAATGTTTATAGCAGCTCAATTCACAATAGCTAAACTGTGGAAGCAACCTAGATGCCCTTCGATAGATGTATGGATAAAGACACTGTGGTATATATACACAATGGAATATTACTCAGCATTAAAAGAGAATAAAATTATGTCATTTGCAAGTAAATGGATGGAGCTGGAGAATATCATGCCAAGCAAAGTAAGCCAATACTAAAAAACCAAAGGCCTGATGTTCTCTCTGATAATGGATGCTGATCCATAATGGGGTGAGGTGGACATGGGGGAAAATGGAAGAACTTTGACTGGGCAAAGGGGAGGGAGGGGTGAGGAAGGGGCATGGGAGCCGGAAAGATGGTAGAATGAGATGGACTTCATTACTCTAGGTACATGTCTGACCGCACATATGGTGTGACACTACATTGTGTACAACCAGAGAAATGAAAAGTTGTGCTGAAATTGTATACAACGAATCATAATGCATTCTGCTGTCATATATACCTAATTTAAATGAATAAGTTAATTAATAAAAAAGAATGGGATGCTAAAATGGATAAGATATATTCCATGCTTGTAGAATTATATCAAAATGGATTCTGATATCATGAATAACTAAAAAGAACCATTTTTTTTTTAAAAAAAGTCAGTGTTCAAGGGGCTGGAGAGGTAGCTAAGAATTAGAGTGCTTGCCTCGCATATATAAGCCCTGGCTTCAATGCAATATCAGAAATTGTCTCTAACCAAGATCAGAACTGGTGATGTAGCTCAGGGGTAGAACACTTGCCTAGCACATGAGGCCCTGGGTTCAGTTCTCAGTCCTGTGGGAAATTAGTGATCAAATTTTATGAACATAGCTTTTCTAAGGGAAAAAAAATCACTTCATTAAATTATCTTATTTTACCATCTTTTTTTTTCTTTGGGAAGACAGAACCACTTACTGGTTGATCAATGTTTTCCCCTTTAATGACAGAAGATGTACAAATACCAGCAAAATTTGCCAATGTGATTTCCTTATCCAAAGTAGTGCTATAAAAGGCCATAAATGTTTTCAAATTTTCTAAGTACTGCCACTTTTGATGGGCAGTTCCATTGTTGTATGGCTTATATTTCTGGAAAAAAAAAGAGAGAAAATATTTTGTCAAATAGACAGGTGAGTTTATGAGATAGCTATAGCAGTCATATTTCATTGCATAAATTCCAAAAGTACAGATAATTATTCATAAATACATTATGCAGTGATAAATATAGTTGATTTTTGGCAATTATATGCATAGATTTTATACTTATAAATATGCATTCTTTGATTTACAAAAATAGAATCACACAATACATACAATTTGAATTGCATTTTTTTTCAATTAACAATATTCCATGAACCTTTTTTCAACATTTTAAAAAGATATTATCATTTAATTTCAGGAATATTTTATTTTGCTAATCTCCAATAGTTAAAACATGTATATTGTTTCTTAAAATTTCCCTGCAATACACAGAGAACAACACACAGTACTGTAAATAAATCTTTGTATAAATCTATGATAATTTCTTTTTTTGTAGTTGTTGATGGACAGAATGCCTTTATTTTAATTGTTTATTTATTTATTTATTTTATGTGGTGCTGAGAATTGAACCCAGTGCCTCATGCATGCTAGGTAAGCACTCTACCACTGAGCTCCAGCCCAAGCCCCTATGATAATTTCTCTAGGACAAATTTCTGGAAGAGTTGCTGATAAAAGAAGATTCTATTTTTTGCAGTATTAGGGATTGAATGCACATCTCACACATGCTAGGTAAGTACTGTACCACTGACTTGCATCCCAAGTCCAAACTCTGATCATTTTTCAAGATTATGATCTATCACATCGAAATTCTTTCTGGAGAGATCATTTTACTTTATATTTCTAATAGTTGTATATGTATATGAAATAACCCACTTTTCTCATATTCTTGTCCCAAAAGGGCAATATCTTCCCTAAATATGAGCTTAATAAATGAAAAAATAGTACCTTATTGATATTTTAGTTTACATTTCATTGATATTAAAGGAGACTTTTTCTAAGTAAAGTTAAATAATAATAGAAACAAGATATTTACTTTAATTACAAAAGTTGGCTCAAGTATAAGTAAAACATGTTTCAATTTAACAGAATTTTAAAAAGTGAATTATTGCTAATAACTAATCATATCATGACACCTCAAGGAATTTTATGATTTGTAACACTTACATTACCAAGTAACAGGTTAACAGTAAAGAAGAAAATAAATGAGTCTTAAGAACTGATTTTATGGGTCAGAAAACAAAGCCTCTCCCAGAGATCTGGAAAACCAAAGGCTATATTTTCAAGGAACAAGAAAAGATCTAGTAGCATTAATCTAACGTGCCTAATTTTTATTACTTTATTTGAACTTGAATATTTTTTCATAAACTGATTGCTTCAATAAATAAAAATGAAATGTTAACAAAGAAAAAAGTTTTGAAAGGTGACTCAAATTATCTTGGGATTAAGTTTTTTTCATATAAAATGAGAACCTCAGGGGAAGACATCCATACCTACAATTTTATGAAACTAAGGAAGGCACTCAATTTGCACCTGCATGAGATTTTATCTTTGATATGTACTAAATAGGCATCTGACATAAAATAATGTAAAATGATGTATACTGTCTCTAAATTTTTAGTCTTTATTTAACATCAGGACAGAAGATTTAATTAAGTTTTGGTATTTGTCCAGATTGCTGTCCCAGTTTTGGATTCAGGGCCTGCAAAACAAGTTGCTTCACTGCTTTTAAACACATGGAATAAAATGTTATTTGGAGACAATACATTCTGCCCAACAAAAAGATGGAAAATACTGTGGAGATGACAGAAAGAAAATGCAGAGCAGGAATGCTCCTAAACTCTCTCTCCTCCTAGCATGGAAAACACAGATCCATTTACAAATGTTTTTGGTTATAAGTGGGAATGACAGGAAAACGTGCAAAAAGCACTTCCTAGATCTTTGTCCAAAATTCAAATGAAGCCAGACTTCTCTGGTATCTCCAAAAATTGTTTGGCTGTTGTAAGCATTTGCAAAACTGTATTAAAAGTATAATGCAAATGGATTGCTTGGTAGACTACCACTATGAGCTCAGGTCCCCAAAAGACCTCCCTGTACGGGTTGTCTTTCTCCAGTTACCACGAAAGGGGGCCTAGCATATGTCCTTGATGACTGAATTTGGGTGCATCTAATAGCCATTCACTTGACTGCATCCACCACTTGACTGCCGTGTTTACTTAACAGTAAATTCTGTGAATTTTGTTGAGACCATTTCTCATGCTTGCCTTTGGATTTGATTTCAGTAACTAGCACAGTTCCTGACATGCGGCAGCTCACAATCACCATCTGTTGGATTAAACTAAATTAAGAGATACATGAACATGCTCAATTTGAAATCTAGGCAGACTATTATAAATATTTTAACAATGACATTCAAGGTAGCATTCTATGGCAGCCATTCTTTAGCTCCACAAAAAGGAGACATTTATTTCAATTTAATTAAAGGGCCATGATTACTTGTTAGTCTATACATATCTTACCTGAACAATAACTGGATAGCCACAGGCTTCATTTCTAGCCTTGGTCATAGACACTGCCAGCACAAGGTCAGGGTTACTTGCCAGGTGAAAAGTCCTTAAGAAAATAGGATTAGTCACATTATCAAGCAGTGTGACCAGATTAGGTTCCTTCTGTGCCACTTATCAATGTATTGACCCTCAGCTCCAAACATGCTCCGGGATAACAGATAATGCTTCATTTCTCCCTTATGGTTAGCAGGATATTAAACTTTCTTGGTAAAGAATGCTAGAAGAACACAGCAAGAAGAAGGGGCTCTCCGACGCTCTTCATGTCTGCTGCGTGAGGTCAGCTTATGGAAGTGAAAGCATCCAGCGATGCTGTGCTCCAACCAGGTGCCCCTATCACAGTCTGCCCACACTCTGAGGACCCTGGCCTGCTTGGTGACAACCTGCTCATTGCCCTCCCAACATGGGTGCCACATGCTTCAGAGCCTCTTGTTAACCAGCATCCTTATCCCCTTCGCATGCCAGTGTGCCCAGCAACTAGTCACACTCCCACATATGTTTCAGAGGATTGCTTCCTGTTTGCCTAGCAACCACACACCAACTATAGCCAGGCACACAGTACAATTTCTCTGCCATCCATGGAGGAGTGCTATACTATATGCCTCTTACAATGAAGTCTAAACCCCAACCTTAGAGGGAGTCCCAATCCCAAACTTATTCTTTCTTGTGTATTCTCCCTCAGCCTAGCGTAATGTGTATATTATATAATATAGACATCTATATCTAAAATTTTGTTAAACCAATTAAGGTATTACATTTGTATCTCTATGAGGTTTTATTCACTGTGATCTGTGTTAACGAGGCACCTTGCTGGGTGCTGTGGTGTACATCTGTAATCCCAGTGGCTTGGGAGGTTGAAGCAGGAAGATCACGAGTTCAAAGCCAGCCTCAGCAAAAGCGCGTGCTAAGCAACTCAGTGAGACCCTTTCTCTAAATTAAATACAAAATAGGGCTGGGGATGTGGCTCGGTGGCCGAGTGCCTCTGAGTTCAATCCCCAGTACCAAAAAAAAAGGTGGGGGGGAGTTGGAGAATGTAATGTATACTTTATCTCCTAGAATTTCTATAGTATTACTATATATGTATACACATATGTATATAAACTCTAGGGCTAAAAGAGTAATAGTATATAAAATATTACATATTACAATATGTATTATCCATAAGATATACATATATTTGAACTTAATGCCTGGGAAAATATGATTAATATAATGGAATTTTCTACACTTTGCTGCTACATAGTATAATCCAAGGTTCTCCAGAACTTACCAGCTTATCAGAGCAAACAGATTTCAATAGCCAACATAATATTTGTGTATGTGATATATAATAGTTAATGCTTTGTCATAGTTTAATAATCCTTTATATCCTACTTTTCTTATTTAAATCACTGTGTGATTTCTATCTTGAGATTATATCCAAACGGATACACCCACTTCCTTGTCCATTTTTCAATTATTGAGATGCAGTGAGAATAGTTTAGTGGGTTCTGGAACAACACTGTCTAGGTATGAATCATGAGTACCATGAGTACCAACCTCTTGGTAGCTGTATAGCTTTAACAATTATTTGCTTCAGTTTCTTCATCTGTAATATGGGATGATGGTGCATAAGGTGGAAATTAAATGAGTTGATGCAAATAAAAATGCATAGAATACTACAAGGTATTTAACATCTAAATATTAGATATTATTATTAATGGTTGTGGCTCCTTTATATTTTTCCCTTAAGTTCTTTTGTCCAAAGGCACTTTTCCTAAAAGTCCAAAATACATGTTGAATTTTAAAAGTGATCTTAATTGGAGCTAACATAAAATCTGTTTAATGGTAAAGCAAAATGAAAATTATTGAATTAAATTTTTGAATTCACTTCCTCACAACACTTAAAACACAAATAAATGAAACATTCAAGGCTTTTATGTATATAGAAAGCCAATTCTTTATTGCTGCCAATATGGTTACATTAGAGACAAATGGTCATTCCTATTGTGGAAATTATAACTCATGCTGAATATAAAATGTAATGATATGGGAATAAAGGGAATAAGGTACAAAAGGATCCATTAAAAGAGTAATATAGTCTTCCTTTAAAGACTTAAAGAATTCCAAAATCAAATTTAAGTTTCTTAACATAAAACAATACATTTTCATCACAAAGAATTTATAAAGTACTGGAAAATACAGTAAAACCCATAATAGAGCTTTAAAATTCACTCATAGTCCTAAATGACAACCACTATTAATCAAATAGTATATTTGTTCCTCCAATGTTGGTTGATGAGGTATCATTTTAAATCCAAAATGGATATTCAATTTTATAAAAAACCTTTTCAGCATCTGTGAAGACTGAACACTGTTAGAGAGCTAGAATTTTACACTGTTCATCTCTGGGGCCTCAAAAGGTTGCGCAGTTTGCATCTTGCATTTTTATTGGCACTCAGTAGTATTATTCAAATAAATGTGTGATTGTTTATTTCCTTTAATGACCTACTGAGGTGTCAAGACTAATGAGCTCACTCTTGATATTTTTGCTTCCTAGAGTAAATGCCACTGTCTCTCTCATGCTTTGATGCCATGCTCAGCCGTTATAATGTTAGGTTTTCTTTTCCTTTTTGAACAGTACGGTTGACGGGCACTTGTCCACAGCAGAGAAGTACTATTTTGCAGGAAGCCGAGCTTATAGATTTCCACATAAAGCCTCCTGTGTGCTAGACAGCAAGGAGGAAACGCTCTATAGCTCAGCAATATCTAGCATGATTCGAAGGCCTCTTTCATTAACCCACGGTAGGAGTGCAGACAGGTCACTTAATCTCTTTGTCCATCAGTTAGTTTATCTTGTTTTGTAATCAAGACTCAAAGATCTCTTTCAGCTCCAAATTCCACAGCACTGCATTTTCTCTTATGTAATTTTAAGTCCCACTGAGGGGACTTTTGTCCCTGAGGATTTTCTCATATTTCCCTTTAGAGACTAAATGATTGATTTAGATTTTGTGACAGTTGAAAATGAAGGAAAGATGCCATATTATCTGCAAAGCTGACCAGACCATTCTTCTGTGTGGCTGGAAACAAAACGAGTGTGTCTCAGCACTCTCCCTATCACCTTCCAGGGTCTCCTCACTGGTTTCTGGCACTGCCAGGCTAGATTGTGTGTTATGCCCTCAAGGCTTGGTTCTCAGTCATAGTCTCACATAAGAGGTTTTACTGATAATTGCATAAGATAGCAGACTTCCTACATATTTTCTCTTTGAAATAGGTGGCCAAAATAAAAATAAAGTAATTCAAGACCTGAAAGACTGAATGGAAAGTCTAAAGGCACAAAATTCTTGGCACAGTGATAGTCACTGGTACCTTCCATTATGCTGGTACTGTGTTACTTTACCTTCTATTTATACAAATTCCGGATGGGCAGTTTTCTCCCCAGACGCTGACTTATTATTTGGGCAAAATATGGAGGAGAAAAAAATTATTAATTTAAATGTAATTTTCTACATGTTTCTATCTTGTAGTATAAGCAAAGATATTATAGTCCTCACTAGCTTATCAGAAAAAAAATGGATTCCCATGCTCAATTACATGAAAGAAAAAAATGCAATATAACAAGGGAAAATGTAGATGAAAGCTCAGAATTAATGTCACTATGCAGACAGCCTTCTACCACAAGACACATATTACCCTAAATCATTCCCACACTCATCATGCAAAACCTCCTCTGCCCTGTGTGTCTCTTGAAGGTGATTCATGCACTCATGAGCAAATCCTATTCCAATGGCCAACACCCTACAGCTCCATGTCCTCTCTCTAGACCCAAAATTTCTGATGAGGAATCCATCAATATTAATATCTCCCTCCCACCAACTATCTCTCTCTTTTGTGGCTTGACATGGGAAGGCCTAAAGATGAAATGTCATACAATGTTCTGGAAAGTGAAAGCAACTGGAAAGGACTTTTGTCTAACCCATGGTTAGAGTTTTTCCAAAGTAGTGCTGCTTATGGACCAACAATTCAGAGTCTCAGACAAAGTTTTCTTTCTGTTTTTTCTTCCACTGCTTTCTCTACATCACTCAAAAATGAACAGAATTTGGAACTCAAGCTCTCTTCCAATGAACAATTATTTCTGGGCCAAAATTCACTGTGTTTGGCTCTCTCTTATCTTAGAGTCAATTGCTTATTCCCCATGTATGTCCACCTGAATTCACCAGCAATGCTCAAATTCCAATTTAGGATAGGCAGCAATCAACTCTATCTCTACTGTAATACAGAAAGATGAGGTAGTAAGATGTATTGCAAAATAAAGACTTGGGATAGCACCAGGAGGTCAACTCCATAAGGCCAAGAATTTTTATCTCTTTTATTCTTTGCTGAAGCACCAGCCCCTAAGGCACTGCCCTTAATATTCCTTTGCAAATGAAAGAATGAGTGCTGCTCCTGTATAGCAAACCACTCGTGGGAAAAATACTGCTATTCTAGCTCCTCACTGCAAAACCATTTAACCCAGGCATATGGGGCAAAGGAACATAGGCGCAAGATCTGACCACATAGTTGACTTCCCAGTCTTCTCTAAGAAGAAGGCAAGACTACGGAGGGTTCCTTGCTAGGGTTTTAGTTCATTTCAGAAAGTGAACAGGCTCCTTCCCTGCCTGAGCCAGGCTGGAGACTGCCTCCTGCTGAATGAGGTTTGTGCAACTTCTCTCAAAGTGCTGATTCATAAGCCTTGAACATTGCAGAGCTTTCAAGAATCCAGTGAAAGTCACAGCTCTCCCAGAAAGAAAAAGTGTGCACAGACGACCAATACTGTGAGAAATAGAAAGTTTAGTGGTCTGTTTTCAGAATATAGTATTTAGCCTTAATTGGGATGAAGATTCAATGGTAGCCATTTTAATTATAGCTCTTCCCTTTGCCTGCCCCAAATTTAAAATTAGTTAATCACACAGATTGTAATCCCAGGTTTCTCCCATCAGGGATAAAAGCAGGTGGACTGCCCACCCAAGTGCACTTACTAGCCAGGGCACACCCTTCTGGCAGAAGTAAAGTTTGCTTTGCTCATCCACTTCCAAGCATGTGTTTGATTTTGGGCGGCAGCTTGGTATTTCTAACAATATACTTTGTACAGTATTTCAAGTGATTTGAAGAGACCCCTGAAGCCCCACAATTTAACACTAATGGTAAAATTTGAAACAAAACTACCTACAAAACAGGGAGTTAATTTCTTTCTTATTAAAGAAATGTTCAAATGTGCACAAAAACTAAGAGAAATGTTTAATGGCCTCATGCACCCAGAAACTAACAACACCCTGCTATGCTGGTTTCATCATTCATCTCGACTTTCAAATTTAAATTTTGACTAGAATATTTAAAATAAATCTGCAATAACTTGCAATTTTATCTCTAAATACTATAATAGCTAACCAACTGACCAAGACTTTGCTTTACTTTTTTTAGCATAAGCATTAAACCATTATTATATCAAAAAATTATTAACAATTTCTTTTTTCTTTTTTTGTTGCAGTTGGACACAATACCTTTATTTATTTATTTTTATGTGGTGCTGAGGATCGAACCCAGTGCCTCATACGGGTGAGGTGAGCACTCTACCACTGAGCCCCAGCCCCAGCCCCAGCCCAACACTTTCTGAATATCATCAGATAGCCAAACTGATTTAGGTTTTTCCTAATTGCCTCAGAAATATGTTTTTGTCAGTTTTTTGAATCTGGATCCAAGGCCAGACATTTAATTAGACTGATGTATTTTCTAAGGTAAGAATTAATTTTTACTGTGTGATTAGAAGCCACATCAGTTGGTTATTTTATGAAGGAAAATATAGATAAAGTAAGGAAAACATATGTCTGAGCAAAGACAGGGATTGAGTTAAAGTATCAAAAAATTTTAAAATTTGGACCTTTCTAGAATTCTCATTTTATTGCTTTATATCTTAAAGATACTTTAGATAAGAGTCTAATCTTGAGTCCAATGGCCAGGTAAAACTATGTACCCAGTAGATCAGATTGAGCATTTCTTATCAGAATCTAATGGCAGATAAATTATATGTAGCTTACCTAGCATTTGTTTTTCTCTCTCTTCTTTAGCTAGGATAAGAAAATATCAAATTAAATAGAAAATCCAAAGCCCTCAATAATATCCTTGCTTGCTCTGTGGGGACCATGCCTGACCTCTTAGGCTCCCATTCACCTTTTGATATATCAACCCTTGAATATAATGTGTTTACCTGCTGTCCTCTTTGTGTATCCAGCGTTGATGATTATCATCAGATTTCTTCTCCACCAAAACCACTTCGGTACCTGAATGGAGGTCGGAGCTTTGTAACCCCAAAACAAGCTGAGGAGCAGCATGGCTTATAATTTGCCCATCTCTGTATTCAAACTGCTGACGGGAAACCTTCTGCAATTTGGCTTGCTTTGGAGAATGGCTGAGATAAAGAAAACTCCCATCAGTGTAGGAAAATGTCCCAAGCATTTGATGCACCAGAGATGGTAAGTTGCACTGGTGAGAACCCCACTATGAGTCGTGTTAACTGTACCATGGTGCACATCCCACAGAACAAAAGCAACGTTAGCACTGCACTTCTAAGCAGACGCAAAAAAACAGAATTCTGAGTTTATTTTGTAACAGAAATAAATATTTGTCCAAGGAAACACATAAGAAATTCATCAACAAAGAGAAAAAAGTTCAGTTGAAGAAGCAATTTAGTTAAAGAGGAAAAACTGAAAATCAGATAAGAGGTAGGAGAAGGAGGAGCATGTAGAATGAAAACAGTGAAACAAAGGAGTTCTGTTCAAATTATGATCATTTCCATTCACTATCTATAGTCTCCATGCCTTTCAGTTTTCCCTGACAATTCACAGGATATCATAATGGAAAATAATGATATATTAATAAATCAGTCTAAAGGGGTCTCTTAAGGATCTCAAAGCATTAAGCAGACTTGTTAAACATGTTAAATATCAAAATGCTGGCAATTAAATTAATCTAAAGAAATCTATGAAGCCCCTACTATGTGCATGATTAAGTACTGTTAAAAGTGCCCAAGCTGTTGCATATTCCAGTAACTGCTTATAATGTTAAAAATGTCTAAGGATTATGGAATAATAAAAAGTACTATTGTTTTCTGTAATTTCATTGAGTGGTAACCAGAAAAAAAAATTTAAAAAGAAGAAACTGCATTTTACTACACACTTATTCACAAACTCACCCCCTCACTCATTCAACAAATATATAGGCCCTATGTTGGAGGCAAAGTTGGATGTTTAGTAGAAAAGACACCATGATGACCAAGAAATATATTACACTGCACAAAATGAATTTAAGGGGAAAGAAACTTTCCACAAACATTCATATGAGTAGTCTCATAAAAAAATGTAAGACAAAAATGTGCATGTTGGTAGAAAGAGAGGCTAACAGCAGTGAAAACACTCAGGAATGTACTTGCCTCAAAGTGAGAGAACCCAAGACTGGGAAGAATCCTCTAACAAGAATCCTTTGCAACTTTTTACCTGTGTTTCTTTTGTGGTTCCACATTTTCAAAGAGTTCTTTCATTTTCTTTGGAAGACTGACATCCTCATCAAAGTCCTGCGAAGTATTCTGCCAGGCATACCTGAGAAGTGTGTGACAAGCTTCCATTCGGAGGTGGGCTCTTGCATGTGAATCTCTATCAAGGTTCAAAAGTAAAAACAAGTCTAAGAATTCTGATTTGTGATCAGAGAATTTTCTCTGAGGAGTAATTAATCATAGCCTGATCCACTATAGTTGATCAACCATAGGATATTGGGGGAATCTATAAATTACATTTCCATCCTACTGCTAGAAATTTGCATCTTACTAATTTATAATTTAAATCTTTTAATATAAGGCAATAAATAAAATCCTTCATTCACATAATAAACAACATTCATCTTTCTTATATTTATGAAGAAAACGTGGGACCATGTGTATATTTCAAAATGTAGGAAGATAAGACTACTCAGCAGTTTGAGAAATTCATAATGGGACATCTCCTGCCTGCCCTGTAAGTGGGTCATAATTCTGTCTGGAACAGTGGAGTCTAGATTTCTGGGTTCTATGAAGTTTATTCAATAGACTGTGTTAAGAAATTTTAATTAAATTTTTCTCCCCAAAGAAAAAATATAGAAAGACTCAAATTGCATCTGTACAATAGAGAGACTAATACACTGAAACACTAGAATAAATAGTCAGACTTTGAATAATTGAGCCAAACTTCCAACTTCAGACAACGATATGAATGGGAGCAGTAGCCACTGTACAGATCCATATATATTAAGTTCCAGGCCGCTGTTGAGAGCACATTTGCTCTGAGTAGGATCATAGCAATAAGAGGGATACTCAGCTGAAAGCAGGGAAAACACACAGGCAAAGCAGCAAACATATTTCATCCCTCTAAATATGCACATGTGTAAATAAAGTTCTCTGGGGCAGACTGTGATCACCAAGGTGCTGGTGATAATTTGATGTAACTACAAGCATTATCAAGTTACCAAAATCTTCAGGGACAATTCCTGTGCTAGCAGAGCTGACTGTACACTTTTCAATTGTAACAGCAACACTGCATGTAAATATGAAACTGGAGGGTAATAATGACTGCCCGCCTCATTCAGAACTGCAGTGCAAGCTTCCCAAAGCAAAATCTTCCTAACAGTTGAACAACAACAGTGCCATCTTGCGTTAGAAAGGAAAAACACAGCTTTCCCATCAACTCCATTTCTTGGAGCAAGGGAAAAAAGTCATTCTTAGTTTTAACAAAGTTAGCAAGGTGCAGACAAGATTCTTCCTCTACATCCAGATATTGAATTTTCTTATTTGGAATTTATATACAAGACCTTGAGCTTCTGAAAGTGAAGTATAGTCAAATCAATTTAGGAACAGTCATTTTTATATTCACCTTTTTAAAATTAATTAATTCATTTGTTCATTCATTCATAAAGCTAGCCATTTATTCTTCATTCCTTTAACCAATATTTGTTAAATGTTTATAATATTCAAGCACATAATTCTAAGAGTTGGAGATATAGTGATGAACACAATAGCCAAGTTCTCGAGTTCATGGTGCTTGTATTCAAGTGGAAAAAAGAGAGACAATAGGTAAATGCTTAAGTAAACAAAGTAAGTGCCATAAGTGGATAAAATGAAATATTGCAAAGGAAATTCCCTGTTGTTTTAAGTTGAGACCTATACAATGGAAAGTCTCCAGCTACCTACTAATCTAGAGAGAGCACTGTAAGCAGAGAAAAGAACAAATGGAAAGTTTTGAATCAAGAATGAGTCTGTCCATTTGTGTAATGAAAGACAAAAGGTGTTACAGACAGGAAGTAAGTGATTGGAAAGGTAGTACCAGATGAGGAGGGCAAGGCCTATTCCTGTAATTTGGTGAAGAATTGAGACTATTCCCCCAAGTTCTGTTCCAAAAGGTTTTTTTCCCCACCCCACAAAGCATCAATGCAGAGGTTAGTGTTCCCAGAGTTTCTTTTCCATTGCACTTCTTGTTATTTTTACCAGACATTGTACACAAACCAACAATAAAAAGGTTCCTTGTAGAATCATGTTCTCTCCTCTCACCTAATAGATAGACCTCCTTAAATCATCCCAATTTTCAAATATGCAAAAAAATCTCCAAACAAACGTATTTAAGGAATTCTGGGGGAAATCTCACAATGACTTACTAAAGTAAGTTAAAAGAGCTAGTGAAAGTTAGCCTGGAAGAAAGATAATCCAGTGAACTGATGAATAAGAACATAAAGGCTGTCAAACAGAAGATGGAAGAGCATAGACCATGAAAGAGATGAAGCCATGGGATGGAGGTGACCTAAATAGTTGATTATTTAAACATTAGAATAGTGAGTTTCCTGCTACTGCGTGTGTTCAAGAAGAGGCTGTAGCAAAACAGTCTGCTTGGAATGATCAGGAGAGGTCAGCATTGTGTTCTGAATGGACTCAATCACTTTTCACCGCAAAGACTTCATGTATATGAAATCTTGATTCTGAACATTGAAAATCTTTTAGTCAAAGATGTTTCTTTGTTTTTTCTTTATTTTTTTTAGTGCAGATTAATAAATCAGAGGCTAGATAAAACGTTCTTTTTTTTCTTTTGTACTTGCCACAGGGAACTTAAATTGTTATGTGTTATCCGCACAAAGCTAGCACCCCAGTGGTTCACTATGATCTCTAGAATCTAAATGGCATTGCCCTGTAGGGCCAGTCTAGAAGGAACTAAGCAACCTGCCTCCCAGGTTGAACAGTTCTGACAATGGTAGCCACAAAAATGGTTCCAGTCACCCTCTCAGCTGAGAGGAGTTTTTTTTAGGAGTACTGAGGATTTAGGGCACTGAGAAGGATGAATGCCAAGACACACTGGTATGTCAGCCATGATCCCAGTCTTCCCCATTGGATATAATTTTTATGTACCAGTTTGCATTGTTAAGGGCCTTTGCAATGGTTAATAACAGGTCTTCCACCTCATTTTCTATTCAGAGGATGCATTCTTTAGAAGAAAAATGAAAGGGAATGTTAGGGAAGTCTGTGGTCAATTCCCTAACTATTGTGGATGATGCTCTATAGGACAAATTATTCTTTGAAAAATGCCTTCTGGTGCTTTTGTTAATGTCATGATAGGAACAAATGAATCACTCATCAAAATCAGGAAATGTTGTTCCTAAAATGGAAGTAATACTCTTACAATTCATAGGAATAGTCTTTTAAAAACAGTTTGTAACAGTGATAATTAATTTTCACAATTACTGCAATGGTAATTGATGAAGTATTTTTGGTTTTATAATTTGGACTCAGACATTCCTTTGTTCATTTGTTAAATGATAATTAAAGTCTATTACTATGCTCTTCACAGAGCACATGTGACAGAATCCTTTCCTTCAATGAATTCCCTAGTTGGTGGGGGAGGGTGACCAACAGGGTAGGAACTGATAAGCCCATTGCTACAGATAATCATTGCTGTGATTGATCTCATTGATTAAGGGTCATTCTACAGATGAATATGAGGCAAGTAAATGCACTTTGGGTGAAAAGAAATTAACACATGGCTCAGAGACCTGCAACAGAACATAAATGGAATGTGCCACATTCGGGCGACACCTTTTTGCTATGCAGCTAGAGCTTGGCGTTCATGTGGCAGGAAGAAAAGCGAAGGAAGTATGCATGGGTCGCAAAAGATGGTCAATAACAGGCATGGGCGAGGGTAGGAAGAGCTTAGGATTCCAGATCAATTTTTTTTTTTTTGTCTATCTGCAATAGGTAGCCATTGAAAAACTATGAAAAATATTATGTATTAGAAAGATAATTGACCACAGATTGCATGTAAGGGTGAGTTGGAAGGAGACATTATGGAGATAGAGGTCAATCAGAAAGATGTTTCAATGAGTCCAATGATAAATGTATATTAACATGAGTGTAACTTGAACATATGTTAGGGAAGAAACTTAATTGTTCCTAAAGTCAAAGTTGATGGATATAAAACAAGAATTCCTTAAATAAATGTCCATAATGCTAAAATTCTAGTCCTTAAAATATAGTAACATTGTAACAATATTACTGAAAGTAGATCATTCTGATGGTTGAACAATGAAATTCTCGCTCCATGCTTTTGTCAGAAAACGAATTAAATACAAGCTCTTCACCAGATCTCACTTTCACTAACTTGGCATGGGTTCCCTGCATGGGCTCTGTGCTTTTATCAGGCTAATGAACTGAGTTCAAAACAGCAGCCTGGTAGTTTTTCTGGCTACACTGATTACTTACAAGATTTCTTTGGAAGCATCAGCTCTTGTTGAAGCGTCAGTTGGCATTTGCTTTTCTTCTGTTTCTTCAACTTGCTTCTCTTCTCCAAAAATTGCTATGGGTTTTTGCACAGCAAGCTTGCCTCCAGCCACAATATCGCTTTGGACTTCTAAAACAAGAGCTGAGCAGAAATGCACAAATTTCAAGGACACATTAGTTATGATCACAGAGCACCAGGAATTTGAAAACACATACTAACATGCAAATACAAAAAAATTCCAGCCATTTGTTCTAATCATAGGTTGCTTTTAAACTATGAATTTGAATTTCATTTAATTCAATGTTAGTAGATTTTTCCCTCTCAAGATATTACTATTCAAAAGTACCTAAAATAGGTCTTTCAAAAATGTGTTAATTATTCTATATTCTAATTCCGAAAATTGGCTACAGTATTTAGATACATGTCTCTAGATCATTCTCTGTGTTTCAAACTCATCAGTGAAAATCCTAATGCCTTGAAAGACACATGCAAAGCTTTACTTCATAATTTTTGATACATGTGATAGGGCTAATGTCTTCAATTATATTATTTTCTTATCCCTTTTTTCTTTCTGTATATAAAGTAAGGATTGCAGGGGAATTAGAGATGCTACAATGGGGAAGCAAAAGTCCAAAGATAGTTTTGGACATTCAAACAGCATACTGCTACAAGACAATAGCCATGTAAGTCAGGATGATACAACCATGATTTTTGTGATTTTTCCAAAAGTCTTTTGCTCCTATTTAGCATGTAAAGGATTTAACCTGGAGAGAAAAAAAAAACAACAAAAAAACACCATTTATGGGCCTGAGAGAATTAGAGGCAAAAGACAGAAAAAACATAAAATCACAGGGAATCCTGCCTCTCCTTATAGGCTTCACTTTGAGTACCTTAGTTGTCTGTGGAAACATTGAGGACACTGCCCATTGTTCAGTACACTGTGACAGGGTCACCTCTTGAGCTATTCTTATCACTCCAATCTGAGGCACAGTCACATGAACCTGGATCTAGTTTCTGGGAGGTGTACCTAAGACATAGTATTTGCTTAGAGTCTTCCTGGGGAGCTTTCCAGAAGGAGTCACCAAACAGGAATGAGCTGTCTCTGTAACAGTTTGTAGACATGACTACTGAGTCACTGCAAGGCTTCAGAGGGCCAGAATGAACAAAGGAAAGCCTACATCAGGAAAGAGGTACCACCCACCCAAAGCATCTCTGGGCCAAAACAATGGAACCCAAGTTGCCCCAGCCATAGACTTCAGCAGGGAGCAAGACAATCTACATGCCAAGTTCTTTCCTGTCATCCTGGAGAGGAACTAAAGTGAGGATATGGAGACTGAGAAACCAGAAAGCCCTCCCTAAAGAGACTAATTAAATCAATTGATGGATCAACATTTACACCGGAGTGGACATTTAATTTTTTCTTGATGGAAATGTATGAGGCTCAGATCTGTTAAAGACATATAAAGAGATTATGTGCTTTTTGAGATACAAATTGTAGTATGAAAAAATATGCAACCCTGTTAAATATAAAAATTAGTCTAAAGAGCTAAATAGCAAGATGAACAGTTGAAATATAATCTGTGCAAAATTTTTATTTTAATATAAAACAATATCAAACATTTTATTTTGGCAGAATATAAAAAGATAAAATAATTTCATAGTTTAGGGGTGTACTTGCCTAGGATGTACAAAGCCATGGATTTGATCCTCAGCTCCAACAAAAGAAAATAACAATAAGAGAAAGAAGAGGAATTCCAATGCTTACTTTCTTCCTTACGTGTGCTGCAGAAGGTTTGAATTTTGGAAATGTCAGATGCTAGGTTCCTGAGGAAGATTTGCTTCTTTTGCTGAGCAATAGACAGGTCAGGATTGATCCAATGTTCTCCACATGAAACATATACCTGTCAAAGAAAAGACTCGCTGATTCTGTACCAGTATTTGTAATAGCCCAAACTGGAAACAATCACAGAAATCAAAATACCATATAATAGTTGAATGGTCAAAAAATGGTGGTGTCATGGAATACTATTTAGTATTTAGAAAGTATAAACTGTCAACAAAAACAATTTTGATAATTTTCGAGAATTTTATATGGGGTGAGAAAAGTACTTCACACTATCTCTGCAACTTCTGTGGGTCTACAATAATTTAAATATTAAAATGTTTTACATACAATTTCTTAATAACAGAGGAAAAGTAAAAAGTGAAAGGTGGGCACCATTAAGGGTTGGCATACTGGGGCTACAGCATAAATCTGGCCTGCTGCTTGTTGTTGTAAATAGAGTTTTATTGGAATCCTGCTATGCCCATTCATTATAGGTTGTCCATGGCTGCTTTCATGCTACAGCTACAGAAGTGATATTTCCGTAGAGACCACATGGCCCACAAAGTTTAAGATTTTTACTTTCTGGCCCTTGGCAGAAAATTTCTTACAATTTCTGGTATAAGTGAATTTATAATATTAACACCAAAATGTTAATATGGATATTTCTGGATAGAGAGATTATGGATGAGACTTTTTCCTCTTTATTGTTATTGCATATATTTCTTAAATGTCCTTAAATGAATATATATATCTTTAAAAATGAAAAAAGATTATGATATATTGAAAAGACTCAGTATGAAGTAAGGGAAACCCAGTGCTGCCTTTTCTGATTATTACACACTCATCAGTACAAAGACTCTTTGTGTGAGGACCTAAGGAAACTTTAAAAATTCCTCTTCTTGAACATCACGTTTCTTGATAATATTATGAATACACTAAATCATACAACCACTCATGTTTCAATCTTTATGTTGATTACTCAGAGAGTGGCAGGTTAATATACAATCATCCTGGCTCCATTTTATCTTCCTTACACCCATACACGCTTTGCCCTGGTAACCTCATCTACACTTACCTTTAGACTAAATTTATCTTTTGTTACAGTATATTTTAATACAAGTTGCCTAAATTCTGTCTCAAAAAAAAAAAAAAAAACACAGTAAATAATCATGGCAGCATACACACATAAACATTAAAAACAAACTCTTTGAAGTGATGGCATTAGCATTTAAATTAAGATCTACTAAATTCCAAGAACACCCTATATGCTTCCTATGATATCGGTCATTGGTGACTGGGTTTAAGAGTCTCTCAAGGTTGCTTATCTTCAGAGTCTGAGGCAAGTTCTGACAATATTATGCAATCTTTGTTCTCAGTGTAAAGAATTTCAGGCATTAGTTAGGGCAGATTTTTGTTTTTGTTTTATTCCGAGCTGATGCCTTGAATTCAAAAATGGGAGAAAAGACTAGGTTGCTAAAGTCCTTCCGATTCTCAACTTTCTCTAACCTCCCAAATAGAGTGTATTAAAAACTGGATATAATATTTTCCTGAAAAATTGACATTATTTTTAAGAAATCATTAAACAACTATATTGCATATGCCTCAAAAAGAGTAAAGGATCTATTTCCTTAAAAGTCAGAGAGATAAATCACAAGTGGTCGATAATATGGCCTTCTCTGGTTTCTTCAGTTTTTAGTGGGGATAACAGAAGCCTCCATCTCAAAGGGTAGTAATGAACACTAAATGAACACACAGGAAGTTCTCAAAGATGCTAATTATTAGTATAACTTTATGATGGTTGCTGAGTTAGGATAATCCTGAGAGAAAATAACAATGCTAAGCATCTGAAGTCTTCCAATGAAGGCTGCTTTTCCTTTGGTGGCATTCATATAGTAACACTTTGTTTCAAATCCACTTGTTTACCAGTTCATCTCTTTGTAGGTCCTTTAGGGAAAAGATTTCCATGCCCTTTTCATTGAATAATCTCCGAGCTGCAGAAGGTAATTTTAAAATTTCAGTGCACCTGTAATAAAAAATATAAAAACTGACCTTGAACACAGAATGCTTCCAGCAATAGAGAGAGAAAATAAAAGAAATCAAGGTCTGGGTTGTGTTGACAACTCTGTCTGCAGGGCTGAGCTAGTTTAGAGCTAGGTTCTAGTGTAAGGGTAAAAGAAATTGAAGTTAAAGCGTAAAAGTTAAAGGGTAAAAGATCGGGTGTTGTAAAAGTTTCCAAGCTGCAAGGTCTGAGTTAGCTGTTAAGACAATGCTTAGAACCGCCCAGTAAACATTTCCCCTGATTGTCTGGTTGTTTAATAACTGAAGGGGTCTGTGTGGTTGCATGCAGGCATTGCAGGGCCTGGACCAATCAGTTTAAATGTAACCCCCTCCTTAGGAATGACCTATCACTCCAGCCTGACCTGTTCCCGCCAATGAATGAACCAATCATGTTTAGGAGTTGTTGTTCAATTTTCCTGCGCCTAATGATGATTTGTTCTGATGTATACAAAGCCCTCTGCCCTCCCCAAAAAGTATACTTAAGCAATGCTCAGCCCCTGCTCGGGGCTCTGGGCTGCTTTCCCTTCTTGAGTGGGCACGGAGCCCCAGCATGCTGGTTCAATAAATCCCCCTTCTGCCAATTGCATGAGTGGTCACTTGGTGGTCTCTTTCTCCGACGTTTCGCGGGACCCTTACACTAGAGTCATCATATCCTTTTTAGTCTTCATTTCCCCTATCCAAGTTGTGATGCTTGGGGGAAAGTCTTTAACCTTTCTCAGCCTAAATTTCTTATCTTCAGGATTGTTGTGAGGATTAAAAGTTGATTTGAAAAGTGCTCAGCACAGTGGCAGGCATGACCAACAAATAGGTAGACATATCCTTACTGACTTCATTCCTCAGTGGGCCCTACATCTTTTCATCTACGCCTCTGGTTCATGCTATTCCTTCTCTCTAAAACACCTTCCTTGACTTTTACTGTTGAAAGTTTGATCTTTCTCCAAGATTGCAAAAGGCACCATCAGTCACCAAGCAATCCCTTAGCTTTCTTCACTAGAAATGATCTCTTCTGCCGCAGTCTGGCTGGGCACAAATCAGGAGCCACTGAAGCAGGAACAAACTTTATTTCTGAACTCCACCAGCACACTCCACACACGCTCCCAGGAAAAATGCCAAATGCCACACCACGCGGCTCCTCCCCGACACACTACTCCAACGGGAAATCCCTCCTCCAGAAATCCCTCCTACCGCACTTCCCCAACCAATGGGAACTCTCTGGGAGTCCTGCGAGAGCTCCAAAGTAGCAGGCCAAGGCAGACAGCAGGGGTCTAATATCCAATTGAATGCAGATCTTAACATAATCATTATCATCTCAATAGCTTGCTGGCGTCACCTTTCAACCAAAAATGCCATGCTTCATTCCTACTTGGCTATGGCTCTCAGCACTCTTCAAAATAGAAATTTTTGACTTGGCTAAACACTAAATATTGATTTCTTTCCCTCTCAAACAAGAGCTGGGTATGCCCTGTGGGTATTGAAATAAATGGCACAAGTTCCCTGAAGAGCTACCTACCTAGTTAGCAACAGACTTATAGTGTGACATTGTAGCTGCCAGTGTACTGAAAGAACACAGAGGGAAAACAATGAATCTATGGAAGTGACATTTGAGTAGGACTTCAAAGGGTGAATAGGAGTTCATAAGCGGCTAAGCTACAGCTGAGTGTATGGACTGGAGGAGGGGCCAGATGAAACTGAAAAAGAAAACAGGAATTAATTTAAAACACTCAGGATCCTGGATAGTGTTGGGAAAAGTATAAACGGCAGCCATACCCCAGAGAAAAAACCCCAACATGGCGCCTAAGCACCTCTTCTTCCTACCTTCTTCTTTTCTGCAGTGGCGCGAAAAGTTCCCGCCCTTGTGAACTCTCCCGCCGGCGCCAATTTCAAATCTCGCTGGCGGGGAACCTTAGCCCCAATGAAAACTAATTCCTGGGCTCCGGAGCTGATATCTGAAAGAACTTGCCAATAAACGGATTGCCTGCCATTTATCTAAGCCCTACCATCTCCCCCTTAGTTCTATATAAGCACACAGCTTTTTGCAATAAAATTGGAATTCTCCCGGCGAAGTGTCTTTGCATGGGGAATTCTTTCAGATAGAACCTGGCTTCTATCTCAAACAGGAGGCCACAGGAGATATTAGAGAAAATGCATGTTATTATAGATTTGCCTTTTAGAAGGTTAACGGCCAGAAAGTTAGAAAATGGACCGGTAGTGGGAGAGGCTGGACCCTAGGTAGCCAGTTTATATTAGGGATAAAGAGGTAGGAATTATGGGGAAGGAGTAGAGTTAAGGAGAGTGATTCTGCATTTCCTAAGGATATTCCCGTGGTGACCCTACCTTTAGAAGGAGGAAAGTGAAAGGTTCTTGCTAAATATATTTGATGTTAGAATGTACTGTTTATAGCAAGTGAGTTAGCAGTATCTTCATGCTCATCAGTAAGACTCGGCTGAATAAAGAACATGTTTAAATTTTATTACCTTCATTGAGATGAAGCAATTAAGTACATAATTGGGCCCTTTTTAAAAATTTTGTTTTAATAAGTTATACATGACAGTAGAATGCATTTATGCACTTTGATATATCATACATAGATGGGATATAATCTCTCATTTTTCTGAGTGTACATGTTGCAGAATCATATTGGTCATACAGTCACATATATACATACAGTAATAATGTCTCTTTCATTCTGCTATTCTTCCTATCCCCATATCCCCTCCCCTCTCTTCACTTCCCTCTACCTAATCTAAGGTAATGCTATTCTTCCCTAGTGTCCCCTGCCTTATTGTGAATAGCATCCGCATATTAGAGAAAACATTCTAGGCCCTCTATTTTTTTGAGACTGCCTCAGAAGGAAATAAACCTGTGAGAATTAAGTCTTTATGTCCTGTGCCTTAATTCTGAAAGCTGATAGACCAGTGGAGACTGGGCCTTGTTCCTCATCCATAAGAGTTGGTGAGGTAGAAGGAGCAGAAGGGGACCACAAGAGCATCAAGTCAGGGTCACAAATCTCCACTCTTCTGTTTGGATGACAGCCAGAGACTCAACCCAATTCCTTCTAATTTCCTCCACATCAACATCTTTGCAGGTTCAAGCAGTTACAATATGGCCTAAGAAGAGCTACCAACATCACTTCTGCTCCCACTCATATTTTCCTAGGGGAACTGTTTAGAGTCTGGGATATCTTGTTTTAGGACAATGTTTGAGAGAATAGAAGGAATGGGTGGTTAGTGGATGTTTCCTTCTCTCTGTTGTGTAACCCTAATTAATGTTGAGTTTGGCATATGTGGGTGGGTTAAAGAGGATTGGGACAAAGAGTTTCACACTGTATTTAACTCTTCTGTCTACTTCACAAGCTAGCCAATATGAGTGGGAAAAGGAAAAGAAAATAACTGGATTTTAAGTTCCTGAAAAGGAATGTGGGCTCTGAAATCAGATTGTCTGCGCTCAAATTCTATCCCTCTCACATTCTGGCTGGGTAACCTTGAAAAAATTACTTAACTTCTTAGAGCTTCATTTGCTTCATTTGTAGTAAATGAAGGGCAAGGCTTTGCTGAAGGCTTCCAGCTAGTTAATAGCAAAGTAGGGCTTAATATTAAACCCCTTGTCCTTTGACCCAGTGGGTTTTCTAATACTACAGGTTGGGTGCAAGAAGCAGAAGGCATCAAGAAAAAGTTCTACGTCTGTTACTCTAATATGAGACATTTTACACTACAGATGGATACTATAGTACCTATCTCCTGAGGCTGTTTTACAGATAAATATTCTAACACTATAAAGCACCTGGCATGTGAAAAGTAATGCAGTGAGGAAGATGGCATACCCCATAATCCCAGCCACTGGGGTGACTGAGGTGGGAGGATCCCAAGTTCAATACCAGTACAGGCAGCTTAGCAAGACCTTTATAATTAACAATTTGTTTCTTATGTAGATACAAATGTACTTTTTGTTAATGTTGTACACAATAATTCAGGCATTTGAGTGGAAAATGCCTTTACATTTAGCATATTAAATATTTACCTCTCCAAAAGATGATGAAATTCAGTCTCATTTATTTCAGTCACAGAATTCTTAGTAACACAGATTTTCTCTTTCCTTTCAGGATTAACATTTCTGAAACAAATTATTCAAGATTTGATTGTATTAGCATTAAATTATTAATTATCTCTCATATGAAAAATTAGGAGGTCTTAATTTACCATGATTTACCTTAAAACAGTCTTATCTTTATTTCAAACAAAGAATTTCCACTAATACAATTAAATACTAAACTTCATACTACATATTAAATAATAACATGTTGTTTTATAAACAAGTATACTATGAGTATTATACATAAGAAAATTAATTTGCAATATTCTAGTCCTCTTCGACCATTTGACCCAGCTATCAAAGGACTTAAAATCAGCATACTATAGTGACGCAGCCACAACAATGTTTATAGTAGCTCAATTCACAATAGCTAGACTATGGAACAACCTAGGTGTCCCTCAATGGATGAATAGATAAAGAAAATGTGGTATATATACTCAATGGAATATTACTCAGCTTTAAAGAAGAGTGAAATTATGGCATTTGCCAGTAAATGGTTGGAGTTAGAGAATATCATGCTAAGCAAAATAAGCCAATCCCACAAAACCAAAGGCCAAATGTTTTCTCTAATATGCAAATGCTAATTCACAATAAGGCAGGGGGTACTAGGGAAGAATAGTGTCACCTTAGATTAGGTAGAGGGAAGTGATGGGAGGAGATAGAAGGGGATGTGGGATAGGAAAGATAGTAGGATGAAACAGACATTATTACTGTATTTATATATGTGACTGCATGACCAATATGATTACACAACATGCACACTCAGAAAAATGAGAGATTATATCCTATCTATGTATGGTATATCAAAGTGCATAAATGCATTCTATTGTCAAGTATAACTACTTAAAACAAATAAAAAATTTTTTAAATCCAATAAAATTGAACACTGTGAGATGTAAATTTGTCACCTTTGAAAAAAACACAGAGATTACATTAATTTTGTCTGTTTTATTCACATATGGTTCTATTATTAATTCAACCCTAAACTTTTGTGTGTTTTTTGCACTATTGTGGATTGAACTCAGAGTCTTATACATGCTAGACAAGTGCTCTACCTTTGAGCTATGCTCCCCAGTCCCAAACCGAAACATTTTTTTAAAAGAAAAATACTCATGATCACAAACGGTATTATTCGAATTTTCAAGTTAGAAAAACATTCTTTGCACTTTTAGAATCTCTTTATTAAATGAAATAATAGTGATCAAATGTAATGATTCATTCATTCAATCAATAAGCACTGACTTGAGGCTTACTGTAGCTCCCCCCCCCCTTTTTTTTTTTGGTTTAGGGATTGAACTCAGGGGCACTCAACTACTGAACCACATCCCCATCTCTATTTTTGTATTTTATTTAGAGACAGAGTCTGTACTGTAGGCCTTTGATAATACAATTAAAGTGAATCTGTAATACCTCGATTAGCTAGAATACACTGTTCCATAGCAGACAGCACACACACCATTCCTATTTCCATCTCACAGATTGAGGCATTGCAGGTAAGTGTGAAACAGAATGGTAGTTATGAGGCTGGGAGGAGGCCAGGACAACTGGTGCAACGGAGTGTACAACCAGCTACAAAAATCTCAGTGGGAAGCAATGCAATGTGGAGTTCAGGGTTAACATCTAGAAATGTCCAAACTTATCATCAGAATATGCTTCTTATTACGGAGATGGGAGGTGTTGGGCAGTGCGGGGTTTTGAAGTGGGACTGGGGGAAGTGTTGGTAAGAATTATAACTAGAGAAATATAGAGGGATTGTTTATAAAAGGCCTTAAAAGCTATAGTAAGGAGCTTGAGTAAGTTCAGAGATCACAACTTATTAACAATTATTATATGTACGTTGAAATGATTTGAAATATAAAGTTTACTATAGAGCTTTATATTGAGCCTTTCTTCTTATTATTCCTTAAAGTATCACTTATAAAATTTTCTTTGCTTAAAATACAATTCTAAAAAATGAAATTTTCCTCTGACAAAAAAATATCAGTTTTTAAGTTATATATTCTTGGCAGCCACTATCAAGACTAATTGAGAAGATTGTGTCACTAAGAATAATATCAATTAAGTGAAAAATACTACCATTTGATCTTCATTTGGTTTTGCAGATGGAGGAAACAATAACAAAGAGAAACCCTCAAAACTGTCTACAGGGAGCTATTAAATAACCGAAGGATAGCAGAACCAGAGCTGGGTTTAATTAAACTAGATTTCTATTTCATCTTTCTCTCATGATTTTACTTGTAAAGGCACTAACCAATGGAACCTCTTTCTCAGGTTAATTCAAGGAATGTATCCATGTATATCAACAGAATTTATTTCTTCTGCAAGATATGTAGCTTGTATTTGTTAAAAGCAGCATTGCTGGGCTTCTATCTTGGATGACACTGGGATGCCATTCACACAATATAAACAGACCCTTCAACAGGTGGGTGACATGGCCGTTCTGCAGTATTAGCCAAGACTCTTTCCATGTAAACCTTTTGTTAACCAGTGTTTACATACAGCAGAGATGGGGGGAGGGATGCTATTGATGATCCTGTAGAATACTTTTGAGCCAACAAAGATTACATAATATTTAGTACAATTTTAGTGTCAAGTACATGCCAATGTATTTTAATTTCTCAGGAATATATAATTCATGAAAAAGTAAATAATGTCCGAATGCTTGATGAACCAGGACACACTATTCCATAAAAATAAATGTCAGACAATGGACAGTTTCATATACTCTTTGCCAGAATAATTGCCCAAAGTTGCCAGTCTCTCAAAATGTTTGGATTCCCTGACTGAACCTGCATTTTAAAACATTAATGTGATCTTACCTGCATATAATTTTGAGCCACAGTTAAAGATTAGAATAAAAATAAATAAATAAGAAATCATGTATTAACTTTGGGCTTTTAGGAAAAAGGTCAGACACTTTTTTAAAGGCATTAACCTCACATTTTACATGTAGCAGAATGAGCTAATTATGAAATGTATGCGTCAAAGATTTCAATTTCAGGCTTGACTTTACTTTGAAGATTAATTTTTTACTTTATCATCTTTACAGGCAGTTCAGTGGACAGCCAATATGAATGTTACTCATTGTTCAGCGATGTATGAAGTATATTTAATCAATGTGAAGAAAGTAATATTAAACCATTATCGGCAGTTTCAAATATCCTAAATGTTTCAAATGAAAGGTCAAGAGGTAATATTGTTGGTAATTATATGAGAAACAATGTGTTTAACTCATTCTTTACATCAAAGCTTCTCAATGACCTATGATTACTTTTTCATAAAATGTAATAAAAATATAACAGGTGATTTTTCACCAATGTTAGAAAAACACTGACTGTTTAGAAAGATTTTATTTCAATCATAAGGTAAAATCAATGCTTTTCTAGGAAGATAAACTTTTAAAATATCCAGAGGAAAGAATATGTTATATAAAGCTATACTTTTGAGAACTGTATTTGTTCATTATGTATTTCAAAGGTATAAATATGAATAATTGTGTATAATAGTAACTTAAATGAAGAATTACAAAGTTATAATTAAGAAGCAATTTGTGAGTTCAGTTATATCAACATGTTAATAAAACTCAAGCAAAAGTGCTAATTCCAAACAGACATTTCTCATAGAACCTTTTTAAAATCAAAGATACTTATTTCTAATTCATTATTTTCTCCTGTGCCTAGCCTATATCAGCAGAGATCGAATTAATTTCCTGATATAGCAACTAAATGAATTTTTGTATCTGTTTTCACCTTTAAATATCAACTAGGAGCACTCTTTCTAAATAAATACATAATTACCCCCAGAAAAACACTCATAATAAAGTAGACAAAAATCTATAGAAACTAGAAAGTATATTTAATGATAATGATGAGCAAGTCATTCTTACTGTGTTTTAGATGATATTTCTGGACAAATTGTAACAAGGGATCTGCTTTTATTCTTATCTCCGTTCCTCAAAACTCTGAGTCTCATAGGGACATACTGCTCTGGTGTCTTCTGGATGGGTTTCTTCATGGGAGGGCTGTTGGGAATAAGCAGTCCTTCTATTGGCCAATCAAAGTCCTTTAGAAAGAAATTATAAAAATGTGATAATAAATAAAAAGAGTCACTTCTAGAATTATATATTTAAACTTTCATTTATTCAGCAAATATTTATTGGGCCCCTTGGCTATTCCAGATAATTCTAATTAACATTTTATTTGCATAAACATGAAAATTAATGATTTTAAAAACTTATGTAAGATTTGTGGATGATTTATTCCATTTGACAGAAACACCATTCTAGAAAAGTAGAACTTGGAGTTTTTTTTCCCTCATCATGAAGTATCTTTAATCAATGTAAAGAAAAGAAGAATGTGCAAAAAGTGGTATTATGATAGCCTGGAATAATATCATCTTAAACCAGATTTGGCAAAAAGATTATAAAGAAATAATTTTTTTATAAAGCAGAATAATATGATGAAATACCTTAAATACATTTTAGATGAATTGTTCTGGAATTCACTTACTTTCTATCTCTTCATCCATATATCCATTTATTTATGAATCAGTATATTATCAAATGTTTATTAACTACATTCCAGGGATAGTACTAGGCCCTGACAATAAAACTACAAACCAGGTAGGATACTCTCCCTTAAGGGATTTACTTAAAGTTATACTTTCAGAACTTTGGGGAAATATAGAAACTTACATAGAAATAAACTGGCAATTACAATTGTGTAAGTATAATAGTGACAGAGTTCCATACTCTGTGCTGTAGAACTATATAAGACCCTAACTAAATACTGCTTTTGAACAGTCCTAAAGCCTCAGTAGGAGCTAGTTCAGTAAAGGATGGGAAAAAGTGTATCTATCAAATTTAAAATTAATAGAACATGATGCTTGGGCAATAAAAGAAAGCAAGGATGGCTCCCAGAGCATAGTTTAATAAGCAACTGTAGAAAGTATTGCTGTTCACAGACACTCCCACAAGAAGAGTAAATGAGGGAAAGAGTGATCAGAGATGATGCTAGGCATGGCTAGTCCAAGTTAATTCATTCGTAGCTTCCTTCTACCTGCATAGAAAATTATCTGTAGCATCTCCTGTTGATGCAATATGGGGAATGGTAGAGAAATACCATAACTTCCTATAAGAGAGTAAGTCTGTTTCTGTGTTCCAATCTCTTTAGTATGTCTATTTATCGACCCCTATGCAGTATCAAATGCCTTGATTACAACAGTTTTAGATCTAGTAAGTTTTCATGTCTAGGAGGTCAAGTACTTCTACCTTGTTATTCTCCTTTGGATATTGGCTCTTGTGGAGCCCATGCTCTTTCCCATATATATTTATGAATCAGCTTCTTTTGTTTTTTAAAAAGTCTGTTTGGAATATGTATTCTGTATATTAGGTTAAGAAAATTGCATATTTTTAAGGGTTTTCTTTCAGGGCTAGAGGTCTCAGTCAGTGGCAGAGTGCTGGCCCAGCACATATTAAGCCCTGGGTTTGATCCCCAGCACTACAAAAATGTTTTTTCTACACTGTGCATTGAATCATATAATGCTCTTTTTCCTTAAATTTACTGTGCTCATGTGATTACTTATACTTTCATCAGCTTTGTATTAATTACATTAATTGGTTTTCAAAGTTTAAACTAATGGTACATTCCTGGATGGATCCAAATGATGTATTATCATTTTTATAGATTGCAGAATTCAATTTGCAATATTTGTTTTCAGGATTTTCATTTATACATTCATAAATAAAGTTAACATGTAGTTTTCTTATTCTATCCTCATCAAGGTTTGGTATCAGTGTTATTCTAGCCTTACAGAATGAGTAGGACAATGTTGCTTCTTTTTTTGTATTCTGAATTTTTAAAAACATGTTTGGTAGAATCGATCAATAAAATCGTTAGGTTAGAGTGTTCTTTTCTGGGAGATTTTAGCTACTACTGATTCTATTTTTTTCTATGGTTATTGGACTATTTAGGCTCCCTGACTCTTCTTGGCTCCTTTTTAATACATTACTTTTGCCCAAGAATTGATTATTTCACTTACCTACATTATTATGTTTATTAGCAGAAAGTTATTTATAATCATAAATCTCTTCTTAATCTCTCAGCATCCATACATATATCTTTCTTTTATTTTTGATATTATTTACTCTTTTTCTTTAATCAGTTTCACTGGATAAATTCACTTTATTAATATTTTCAAATAACTGACTTTTTGTTTAATGATTCTATTATATAGATAGTATCTATTATATCAGTCTCTGCTCTTATAATTTTCTTTCTTCTTCCAATTCTTACAGCTCATTTTACCATTATTTTTCTAATTCCTTAAATTGAATGCTTATCTCATTAATTTTTATCTTCCCTCCTTTTTTTTAAAGAGAGAGAGAGAGAGAGAGACCTTCTTTTTTAATACAAACATTTAGAATTAGAACTTTGCTTCAAGAATACTTCTCAACCCACATTTTTTGCTTTGGTTCTAAATATATGTCTTTAAAAATTTCATTATGATTTATTTTTTGTTCACAAGTTAAAGTGTCTCTAAATTTCCCAACATAGGACCTTTTGTACTAATTTCTAATTTCATCCATTAGCAAAACCTGGTTCCATTCCTTTTCATCTACCCCTACTCTATCACCCTTGTCAAAGGCATAATTTTCTCTCCAACAGAGATTGCAAAAGGCTCCCACCCACTTATTCTTACCTCCATTAGTCTCTTTCCCTCTATTATCACAAGATCCTATTAAGACTGAAGTCAGAGCACATTCCTCCTCTGATTCAAAGCCTCCAATGGTTTCCTGTCTCAGATTAAGAGTCAAAAGTCTTATAATGGCCTACATGGCCCAGCATGGTTAGCCAGATATGGTGGCACATGCCTGTTATTCCAGCTATTCATGAGGCTAAGGCAGAAGGATCTCAGGTTTGAGGCCAGCCTGAGCTACTTAGTGAGACTCTGTCTCAAAAACAAACAAAAAAGTGTCAGTGGTTACAAGGCCCTTGTGTGATCCACACCTCTTTGTTCTCTTCTTTCTCTCCAATATTGCCTCCTGTTGTTCTCTCCACAGTTCACACTGCATCTGTAATTTTGTGCCTCATAGTTCCTTAAACATTATCTCAGTTTCTTTGCATTGTCTGGAATATCCTTCCCCTTTGGGTCTTTACTCAAATATCGCCTCAAAGAAGCATTCCTCCTGTAACCCTAGAATACTAACTACTCTGTATCATTGCTTCTAGTTTACTCTTAGCTCTCATTATTGACTAACATTTGTAAGAGCAATATAGAATGGCTAAGGGTTTGGGCTCTTGAACAAGCCTGACTGCATTTGAATCTTTGACTTGTCATTTTCTGCATAACTTGAGAAAATCTTTAACCAAAGAGAGATGGAAGCTGAAGTATAAATTCTTCCCTTTATTCTCTAAGAGAAAATCTGCTAAGAACACTCTTTCAGTGGCTTCTTGGATGACAGCTTGATAGCACATTCTCACACTGGCTCTCCTTTCTGCCCTCTTGTCCCTTACTCCTGTTCCCTGCGACTGGACTTCTTTTTTTTTTTTTTTTTCTTAGAGAGAGGGGGGGGAGGGAGAATTTTTTAATAGTTTTCTGCGGACACAACATCTTTGTTTTGTATGTGGTGCTGAGAATCGAACCCGGGCCGCACGCATGCCAGGCGAGCGCGCTACCACTTGAGCCACATACCCAGTCCCTGGACTTCTTAATAAGACTGTAACATATAACCAGTTTCTGGGGAACCCAAAGACATCATAATCCATATGAACTAAAAGTGGGAACTATTTCCTAAAGGGGACATAGGTACCTACCCAAAGAAAAAGGAAGTCATGTTGGCAGGCAAAACCTCAGAAGGTCACAATAAAGGTGGTCTTAGAGTCCTGGGAGTATCCAACTAACATGACAAAGATAAAAATGGATTGGGGGAATGTGCTGGCATGGTAGTCCAGCACAGATCAAGTCACAAGGCCTTTAGTTTATGGACAAGGAGAACATGTTTTTTTTTTTCTTTTCAAAGCTAATATAACATTAGTACAATTATACCTAATTTACATTTCCTAAACAGTTTTAAGAATTTTGCAATTATGCTGAAAAAAGTGTTTTAAATAAGTTATAAATAAAATCTGAAAGTTGTGAAGATTTTATTCTGAAATGACATCTAATTATGATGTGCTAATTTGTGAGATGAGTGAGTAAACAACAATTGCTTTTAATTAGGAGAAAAGCCACATAAACAAATGTTTTAAATTTTGATGAGAAGCGTTTTTTAGTTTAATGCTTTTTCCTTTATATTTGGATAAACATGTTAATACAGTGACATACAATGAGCTTAATTTATCACACTTCTAAATAAGCAAAGTTTGCATTTTAAAAGTATTATTTTATTGCTTACTTTCACTGAGAACCTTTCACCTGTATGGAGGTTAAATTGCAAAAAGCACACTATAATCTGTTTATTTAAATAAGTGCCTGTTACCCACCAACAGAGCTACATGAGTTTGCTCTCCCTTTCTGATTCTTTTTATTTTGGAGGGGGTAGGTGGGTGCTGGTGACTGGGTACTCAGGGGCACTCAACCACTGAGCCACATCCCCAGCCCTAATTTTTTTTGTATTTTATTTAGAGACAGGGTCTCACTGAGTTGCTTAGTGCCTCACCATTGCTGAGGCTGGCTTTGAACACACGATCCTCCTATCTCAGCCTCCTGAGTCTCTGGGATTACAGGCGTGCACCACTGCACCTGGCTTTACTATGGTTCTTGACCAAACAAAATTAAAGGCTATGAAAAATGTATCATATTTTCATTTGAAATTCTTTTATTGTATAGAGTTTTATTTAATATGACAGTAGTTGTGTGGGGGCACATAACCTTTAAGAAATAAGTTTAGGATCAATCTGTAACTATTCTACAGAAAAAATACTAAGCAATTCAGAACAAATCAACTTTTACACTAGTTTCAGTCAAAAGAAAAAGATCAGAAAGTAAAGGGTGGATAGGTGAGAGAAGTGGGAGAGAAAAACCTCATTTAAGATTACTCTCATATTGAAGACTAGTGTAAA